AGAAGAAAAATAAGTTAAAACCCCATCTGTTGTACCATGTTATGTTCTATAAACCAGAACATCCTCTGAGAAAGAGCTTAAAGCGTTAAACATAATGGATCAATTCAAACTACAAAGCATTAAAAAATATTCTTCCTCTCACAGTGAATTGGGGCTAATGTATACAAACGTAGCCCACCTATATCACAACTGCACAGACATATATGGAGTCTTCTCATGTGAAATTAACAAGACTTGTTAAGCTAAGAAAAACATGATCAATAAATTTACAGGTTTGAAATATATCATTTCTTCATATTATTTTTATTTTGCCATCACTACTCAAAAAACAATGAACAGAGGTTTACATATGACTTTGACATGATAACCAACAATAGGTTCAGGTCATTAGAAAAATTCTCACCAACACATTTATAGTAGCTTAATCCACTGATTTAAATGGATAATTCTATCAAATTCCTGTTAATTTCTAACTTCAAAAAGCAATCAAGAACTTTTCAAGCATAGAAAAAGAACAGCGGAAAGCTCAAAATTGTTAGTAACGGCCAAAAATTTCCAAGTTCCAACAACTACAGGATAAAGACATGGAAATTTTCAGGTAAATTGCCAAAGTGAACGTGTCTTAGTTGATGGGTTAATTCCCTGTATCATATTTTATTATACAACCAACCCAATGAAGTATCTATATCAACCATTTCTCATAGTTACCTCATACCAATATTTTTCCTTCCCTTCTTACTACCGCCTTATTATTTGGTCTTTTCTACTTTTCCCTTGTAATATTTAAATATACGGGTGGGGTAATAACATTGTACAGTAAGCGTAATTAAGGGGTTTTTTTTCAAAAAGTTTGTGAATTAATGGAAGATGATGACCATGTCTAAAGAGTGGAAATCGTTTGTACGAAAACTTACCTTTCTAGACACATCGTCATTATGTGTTTTTGTGTGTGTGTGAGAGAGAGAGAGAGAGTACCTTTTTGGAATGACCTTTCCCTTGACCCCGATAAAAAGCTGGCATAGGTGTGGCCTTGAAGTTGAGATTTTGTTTCGGTTTTCTTATCTCAGCTGCCTTTTCCTCCTGGATCAAACGTGCCTTGTTAGACCATGCTTCGCGCATAGATGGATCAACATCAATTATTTATAGGTCAAATGCATTGATATGGAGTCTCTTTTTCACCCAAATAGAAGATACCTTTGTTTTCGCACTAAGTTGCGCATCATCAGCCTTTCTGGCAATTGATTTTGCTTCCAAATTCTTTATGAACTGTTTCAACTTAATCATTAGTTATGAAAAATTGCCTACTGGATAATAGATCTACATATTTAAAATGACCGTTATATCTGCACAAAAGCTAAAATAGAAGGTAAGATTTAATGGATTTACCTCTTTCCTCTTTTCAGCTCTTTCATCACTTCTCAAGCCAAATGAATGTGTGACGGTTATTGCATTTTTCTTATCAAGACCAGAACCTTTATTCAACCTATTATAGACTTGAAAAGTTCAGAATGAATCGGGAAAAATCATAAAAAGAAAACCTCAAATGATAAACAACTGAGAAAACAAAGAGAAATAAAGATAAGCCTTTCTAATTTTTCTTCTTAATTTCACAACTTGGAAGCACGAAAAATTTTCATGAAGAAAATATTTACTATGAAACATGGCCAGAAAAAGTTATCAAAGAATAATAAATAAAAGAAAATACACCTTTGTCAGTGTAAAGGCACATTGTATTTGGTTATTTCCACTAGCACAAGCTGCAACATATAGGAATATGGTGGCAATTATTGGGAAGAGATCTCTACTTGTACTTTCTGTGTCAATATTAAATAGTGCGAATAGCATCTCATTCTGTTTGGCTCCATTTTGCATAAATGATTGTTACAAAACCCAGCTTCAAGTTAGTATGGAGTTAACCCAGTCAATCAACCATGTTGCCAATTTAAACACTTTCTTCCTTGGGAAAACAACAATAAGTTATGTAAATTTTAGAAAAGGATTTCTCAATGTCAACATTAGGCTTGATGACCGGAAGACAATTTAAAATAGACGTGCAAAATAGCAATCACATCAATCAATCTGTACTTCATGATTATCAATCACAAATTCACATAGTACAGGCTTTCCAAATCAGAAAGGAGATAATAAAAAATAAAAAAAAATAAAAAAAAATGATAGAAAAGCGTGATAAAATGAGATTTTACATATAACCATCATTAAAAACTCACCCTGAGGACTCAGACATCGATCTAGTTCCTGATCGAGCCCTTTGAGTAAGTGTCTTTTCCGCAGACTTCCTCAGTCTACAATTCAAATGAGTAATCAGTAATCATAGTCGAAGGGGAGATTAGTAAAATAATAGGAGGGGGAGAAACAAAATGGTTCACAATTACATTCCACGTCCACAGTTAAATTTCATAGAAGAGCAAATTTACCAGCAATGTGCATTTAGGTTCAGAATTTCCTTCTAAAATATGGACTCTTCTGAGGATTTTAAGAGGAAATTTAGTCATCTACACAATAATAAATATGTTTTGCCCTGTTTCCATCAAGAAATTTTTTATATTGTAGACTTAAATATATGATAAATAGCAAGAAAGGTTTTAGAACTACAAAATCACACTTATTTTCTCCTCACGTTATAGAAACTTGGAATTTCAAGACCAAAACTATAAGTGAAACAATAAACCGTAGCTGTATCCATGGACCAGTTACTTGGGAAAACTATTATGTGAAACTAAATGCATGGAGCTATACTTTTTCATTACAGATTACAATCTCTACAGAAACCGAAGATAACATATTATTATATGTAAACAACAATGTGCAACTTAAGACCCAATTTGCTCTTTCCCCTCTTAACTCTGAATCTAGTAATTGATAAGTTTCCTATTCATGTCTTAATTGCATTTAATAGCAGATATGCGGGGACATGTGTTACCCTTCATTCTCCTTTCGGGGGGTGAAAAAAGAGGAAACCTTCTGCTCGGATGTGGTGGACGACACCTGCCAAATTTGTTAAAACCAAATATCCACTCAATTAATGAAAAGGTACTAAAATTAATGATAGAAAAATCATAACTTGTTGTACAAAAAGGAGGAAGAATTTATGGAATGGCATACCTGCTTTGGTGCACTAAATTTCGCATTACTTGGAGACTTTAATTCATTGAGATGGTTCTGAAATGTCTTGAATGCTTGCTTTACAATGTCCTTATCCCCCATCTTCTCCATTATGAAAGACTTTCTTGTTGTGGGAAAAGGTGCAGAAGAATTTGCTGGCCCCAAACTGAGAGACATGTGCAAGGATGTAGGAGTTGCTCTCTTGCTTTCTCCCACTAGAGTATTCCTGCTTTTTGGAAGTGGCGTCTCATGGACCTTCTTTTTCAAGGGACGGGAGGCAGATATAGGCGTGGAAATGGATGTCGGTTTTGATAGTCTAGGAGCAGAAACTTGTGGCGACTTGGCTGCAGATTGTACAATATTTTTTGTCATAGCCAAATTTCTCCCCTTTTTAGTTGTAGTAACCTAAACACCAAAAACAAATAAATTAAACACAGATCAATCGAAACAATTACATAGAATTTAGATTTTTCAATCCTTAAAATGCCCAATAAGTTCCAATACTCAACCTTTTGAGCTTGATTCTGTGCATTCAACTTGGGATTTTCCATTTTAATTACACAGGTTTTTTCTGCCCTGCCTTTCCTTTCTGGTGGCTGTTCTGCACTATCCTTAGAATCCTTTTGAAGGATCACTTCCTTAACCAAGACAGATTCCTCTCTACTATTAACTGCATTAACATTTAACTCTTTATCTTCCTGGACTCCCGAGTTTCCACCCTCTAAAGCTACAGTTACATCCTCTTTTGTCACTTCAGAAGTGGTCAAATCAGTTGTATAGGTTTCGGGCTCAATTTCTTCCATTGATCCAGCATCATCATCTCTTGCCTCATCAAAAGTAATTGCATAATCAACTACTTCACCAGATTTCTCACCATTGCATATACTCGACTCGGTATCTATACCAGTCGAGTTTTCAACATGATCCGCACCGATTGACTCACCAGGGCTTTGACTAATAGGTTCCGTTTGATTTTCCTCCTCCAATTGTTTGGCTTTCCGAGCAGCTATCTTTTTGTAGTGTGCTTCAAAATAGGCCCTTTTTTGAGCTACTGATCCTGGTGTTGAAATATTTTCAACTTCCTCCAAATACTTATTTGGTGAAAAAGATGACCATTTCTCCCAAGAAAGTGAATCATTCTCAAACCTACCCAATGAAACCGATACTTCCAGTCTAGCACCAGATTTAACTGACTCGCCCATCTGCTCAAATAATGCAAGATCGAAAATTCAAATAAGGGACGGATTTACAGCTCACAACAAGAGGTCAAGAACAGGAATTTTGCATTTGTGAATAAGAAAATACATAAAAAATCCATAACAAACAGAACATATACTGAAACAATAATTGGAAACAAAAGATTAATCATACGGGGCCACTCAAAACTATTCAAAGGACAAATAGTGTACCTTGTTCCCTGCAAATGGTGTTTTTCTAGTCCAGATTCATCCAATGATTCTTCAATTCAATGATGATTAATCAGAGAGCCTAGAGATCTTGAAGAAGACAAAAAGAAGAAGAAGAAATGCAGCCAATTAAAACAAGTGCTGTGGTCGTTTCTTACATAATTATCCATAAAATCAAAATTTTTTACAGTTAACAAAAGTGCTTGTCTGGTTCTTGTTCTTCTGGAAAGTCACCTTAATCATCAACACAAAAACAAATGCACTGAATGAAAATGCAATTTTATTTTTATTAAAAAAAAAAAAAAAAGAATCACATTAAAGTTGCATACAATCCTAGGATGAGTTAAGTAAAAACGTTGCATACATTAAAGTTACTTCGATTTTTTTTTTTTATCTTTTTTAGCAGCAAATCCACTTTTAAAGTGAGAAAGATCCAAAAGTTGCAATCTTTGTGACTGCGTAGCTTTTTGCGAAAGCCAAATCACAGGAAAAGAAAAAATGTACAAAAAATTTTTTGGGTCCATGAAAAAACAATTGCTATCATTGAATAATAATTTTTAGTGGATAGATGATGTAGAAAAAATTGAAAAACATGGAATGATTAAAATTAGTCTTTACCTAAACATGAGAAAGGGTTTGAAGGCCCACTGAGACAAGAGTGTAGTACAGTACAGTGAAGAAGAGATAGATCTCAATAATGGAGGTAGATGTGGGACACGTGTGGGCTTGGAATTCAATTGGTTGAACTAATTCAAGAAAACCTGTTTAAAATACCAGAAACTGAAAGTGTTGAGATTGTTTAGACGAAAATGAAAAAGGAAACACCACATATTTAGCTCCCGTTCCCCCCCTTACCCCCGTTCCCCCATTCTTTCCCAATTTTAATGGTCAAAGTAGTATTTTTATTAAATGTATGATTCAAAAAAGAATGAAAAATTTTTAGTTTGCGTTTAATATTATTTAGAACCTTGTTATATGTATACTATGGTGTACACTTTAACTTACACTTTGTCACGTGTCATTATCCTATTGGACAGTTAAGATTTCAAACAATTTTTACATTCAATTGACACTTGACAACAACTAAAGTGTTAAAAATCAGTGTAAAAATAACAA